TATGAAGTTTATACCACCCTATTTCAACATGGTTTCTCCATAATCTTGCATATATGTTAGATAAACACACTTGTAGTTTAGAGTTTTATTTAAAGAAATAACGGGTTGTCACATCATCCCCCCGTAAAAGGGAATTTCGTCCCGAAATTCTTTCTATAGAGTAAAATCATGGACTAGGAAAAAGATGAGGGTACTTTTGTTGCATCTGATCTTCTCGCTCCGAAGTGAATTTTGGTCCCCACTTGGCATTTCAGCGAACCTTCACTATCGGTTTGCGACTTTGTTTCGTTCGTTTGACATGCCTATCCATGATCTCTACTGGTTCTTGTACGAAGTTAAGGCTCTCGTTTATCTCGATTTCATCGAGTGGAATCACAAGAGTCTTGTCAGATAGACATTTCTTTAAATTTGACACGTGGAAGACTGGGTGCACTTTGTTAAACTCTTGTAGTAAACGGAGTTTGTATGCTATGGGGCCGATCCTAGCGAGGATCTCGAATGGCCCAATGTACCTCGGATTGAGCTTTCCATGCTTTCCGAAGCGTATTATGCCCTTCCAGGGTGAGACCTTCAGTAGAACTATGTCACCAACCTGGAATTCCAAAGGTTTTCGCCTTCTGTCTGCGTAACTCTTTTGCCTATCTCTTGAAGCTTTTAATCGTTCTCGAATTTGTACTATCTTTTCCGTGGTTTCTCGAATGATTTCGGGGCCAGTGAGAGTTCTTTCAGGAACTTGTCCTTTAGCTAGCTGCGTGTCACCCACCTCAGCCCAACACAGAGGGGATCTGCATTTACGGCCATAGAGGGCTTCGAATGGAGCAGCTTTTATGCTAGTGTGATAGTTGTTGTTATATGAAAACTCGACCAGTGGTAAATGGGTGACCCATGCTTTACCGGAGTCGATCACACAGACTCTCAGCATGTCTTCTAGAGTTTGAATGGTTCTCTCACTCTGCCCGTCAGTTTAAGGATGATAAGTTGTGCTCATGTCCAGCTTTGTTCCAAGAGCCTTCTGTAGTGACTGCCAAAATCGCGAGGTGAACCTACCATCTCTATCCGAGATTATAGATATAGGCACACCGTGCAGTCGTACTACCTCTCGGATGTAGGTTCTAGTTAGCTTCTCCATTTTGTCTGTATATTTGATTGGCAGGAAGTGGGCGGACTTGGTCAAATCTGTCAACGATTACCCAAATAATGTCATGACCACCCGACGTCTTGGGCAACTTGGTAATGAAATCCATTGTGATTCGCTCCCACTTCCACTAAGGTATCTCTGGCTGCTGGAGTAAACCTGAGGGCTTTTGATATTCTACCTTGACCTTGGCACAAGTTTAGGCACTTGCCCACGTAGGTAGCAATCTCGGCTTTTATGTTTGGCCACCAATAAAGTTTCTTTAGATCCAGATACATCTTATCTGAACCTGGGTGAACAGAGTATCGAGTCTTATGCGCTTCGTTCATGACTATATCTCTGTAACCACCGAACTTTGGGGTCCATATCCGGTTCATGAAGTAACGGACTCCGTCTCCCTTGATCTTGAAGTTCTTCTCCATTCCTCTCAAGGCTTCTCCTGCCACATGTTCTGGTTTTAAAGCTTCTAGCTGAGCCTCTTTAATTTGTGTGGACAGGTGGGAATGGATTGTCATGGTTAGTGCCTTCACCTTACGACCTGAGTATTCCTTCTGGCTAAGGGCGTCAACTACTACATTGGATTTCCCTGGATGATTGCAAATTTCTCACTCGTAATCATTGAGTAGCTCTACCCATCGCCGTTGTCTCATGTTGAGCTCCTTCTGATCAAAGATGTGTTGGAGGCTTTTGTGGTCGGTGAAGATAGTGCTCTTGGTACCATATAGGTAATGTCTCCAGATTTTTAGGGCAAAAAGCACTGCTACCAGCTCTAGGTCGTGAGTTGTGTAGTTGACCTCGTGTGCCTTAAGATGGCTCGAGGCATAAGCGATAACTTTTCCTCGCTGCATAAGCACACATCCAAGTCCCTGGTTAGATGCATCACAGTATACAACGAAATCCTCTGTCCCTTCTGGAGGGGACAAGATAGGTGCGCTGCACATGGCTTGCTTCAATGTCTGGAACGCAGTGTCTTGTTTTACTCCCCAACTAAAGTTTACTCCCTTATGAGTTAGGGTAGTAAGCGATTTTGCAATTCTAGAGAAGTTTTGTATAAACCTAGGATAGTAGCCAGCAAGACCCAAGAATTGACGGATTTCTGTGGGCATTCTCAGTGCTGACCAATTCTCTATTGCCTTTATTTTGGAAGGGTCCACATGTATGCCTTCGTCGCTAACTACGTGACCCAAGAAAGTTACCTTCCTAATCCAAAACTCACACTTAGAGATTTCGCGTAAAGCTTTTCTGCCCTCAGTGTTTCTAGAACTTGTCTTAAGTGTTGGTTGTGTTATTCCTCACTTTGTGAATAGATAAGTATATCATCTATGAATACTATCATGAACTTGTCTAGGAAGGGGTGGCACACCCTATTCATCAGGTCCATGAATAAGGCGGGTGTGTTGGTTAGACCAAAGGGCATCACTACAAACTCGTAGTGACCATATCGAGTTCGGAAAGCTATCTTAGGAACATCACTCTCCTGGACTCGTAGCTGATGGTATCCCGATCTTATGTCTATCTTGGAAAAGTAGCTAGCTCCTTGGAGTTGATCGAAGAGGTCGTCTATTCTGGGTAGTGGGTAGCGATTCTTGATAGTGAGTTTGTTGAGCTCACGGTAGTCTATACACATCCGAAAAGATCCATCATTCTTCTTAACGAACAAGACTGGTGCTACCCAGGATGAGAATGTGATAACCCGAAATTTCTATCTTATAAGCCAAGCAAATCAATCAAAGTTAGACTGGTATCTGTTACCTTTTAGCCGTGCTAAGGGTTATTCTGTGAGTTTTTAAGCCTCGTACACTTAGGACTCGATGCTATGATGTGTGAGTAACGAATCTATGAGTTTCAAATTAAGCCAAGATCATCCATCAAGGTATGTTTATGGCCCAAAGTGGGTTTACGGTCGTAAACCCAAGCTTGGCCGTAAACCCCTTTCTACTAGTATAGATTTCCTTCATTATTCTTCATTCCTCACATCTTCAAGTCAAGAAAACTCATTTCTCTCTCAAGTATCCTCATGAACACTTCCATTTCTCTTCTAAGTTGTAAGTGATTCTTCCATTCTTTCTTGATATCCTTCTCATTCAAGTGAAACCCTATGATTTCATTCATCAATTCATCTCTTTTGGGTTTAGATCTTCAAATCACCAAGAACACATACTTGTTCTTTGGTCCGTAATCACCCTATAAGCTTCCAAAACCTAAGTATCTCTTCCATATACTTGTTATTCATTAGAAGCTCTTGATTTCCAACCAAGAATCAACCATTGTATGAATGAACTTCAAGAGTTTACAGCCGTAAACCCTTCATGTGGCCGTAAACCCTTCTTAGTTCATAAGGTGGTCGTGAACCCTTCAACCCATGGCCGTAAACCCTTCATAGGATCTTGATGTGGCCGTAAACCCTTCAACCCATGACCATAAACCCTTCATGTGTGGCCGTAAACTCTCCTATGGCCGTAAACACTCATTGTGTGGCCGTGAACACCCTTTCATACAATCATATGTGATTGTAACACTTCATTCCAAGTGTTTCCTAGTACCTAAGGTTGTTCCCTTACATGATTAGTTGTTGTATACACTAATTGTATGCCTATATATGTGATTATATGTCAAATAGGATCCAATTGTGCTTCGGGACTTCATTTGTGATCTCAAGCATCCTATATCTATCTTTCATTCGAATCACTCACTACAGGTGAGTTCATACCCCTAAACTTATCTTTTAATGATTTTAAATGCTTTTATTGGGGGGGGGGGGGATACAAGTAGAAAACAATATAGTTGTATAATCAATCACATGTGATTTATAACTATCGAAACAAAAGATTCCTTATACTTCAAAACTGTGTTATCAAACAAACTGTTTCAAATCATTTTATAAACTGACATCAAATCATTAATAACCATTCAAATGGTTAAAACCCGTTTCAAATGATAAACTCTTTAAATGTTTTACAAAACTCTTTTAAAACTTATATATTGTCAAAATGATGTCTATATAGATATAGTTATATAAACAAGGTTGAAAGGGCTTAGGACTGATAACTCGTTTTATTTCATGTTCCTTGTTTGGTTGTGGACTTAGGGTATCGGTTGTTTGCCCGAATGTCGTTTGAATCTTAGTTATATATTATGTATATGTATATAAATATAAAAGTACATTCAATCAGTTCAATACCTTTGGGTAGCAAAGGTGTGCAAACATGATCAGTCAATCAATAATAGAGCTTACTAGTAAACTATAATACGTATAGTTTAGGAAGTTACTATTTACTATTTCTAGAACAATGAAACTTACATGAGTCAGTTCAAACATACAATAACTAAAACAGGAAGAAACATACAATAACTAGAACATGAAGGAACATACAATAACAAGAACAGAAAGGAACATACATCCTTTTACAAGAACAAGATAACATTAATGTGAAACCACTACTTTACGGCTTGGCAATATACTTGTTAGGCCGTGTTTTGTAACTAGAGTCTTCTTGAGGGAGAGTGGGCATTGTGTGTATAGATCTATACGAGACTGACAATCCCGCATCCCGACTGTTCGCTACAGTTTGGCCGGCAGGCCAAGGGGTGGCAAATGTCACATCAGTTTCGACGCCAGTAGGTCATCGTGTTAAACACTCATCAATCAGTATGATTATAACCACATCACATTTTAACCTTAATTAAACAAATTGGTTTTAAGGTAGTTAGTGCTTCAGTAGTTACTTATTTATATAAATATATTAAAGTTGTTTGGCAACATGAATAGTGAACTTGGCAAGTGTTTGGCAGAAATGGTCTCTTACCTATATGTTTTTCTATAAGGGTTTTTATGTAATTAATTTGTTTCTATGTACACGTGTTGATGATCGATGTTGCTGTTGTGTGGCTGTATTTCATGTTTATCTTCCAGATCCTTCCGCATATCCGTCTGGCCTCTTTTGCTCACAGCAGCCGAGTAATCGAGAAGAGCTCCACTCCTCATCTTCTCTGCCAGATGAGTTTTGAAGGGGTTGATTGGTCATAATTTTTTTTGTTTTCTACCCACCGTTACCGGAAATTGAGAGGGAATGGGAAAGACTAATAGATTTTTTCCCACTAGGTGTTCGCTGAGTTTCCAGATAAAAGAAAATCAAAAATCAAAAACAAATCAACGGCTGTCTTCTGCTTTCCCTGCTTCGTTCCTTGCTACTTCAAGTTCGTGTTCTGCTTTTTTTCCCAAGGGTTTGTGTCAATTATGTTTTCGGTTCTTGTTTACATTACTCGATCCTGTTTTTTTTATTGATGCAAGCATCATCCGCATCAGGTTTCTCTGTAAACAAGGGCTCCGATAGGAGTGACGCAGAGGGGGTCTGCGGTGGAGTTTTGCTCGACGGAAGGTGAAGATGCGGATGCGACGGGGTTCGATCAGTTGGAAGAAAAGGTCTTCGACGGAGCCGGACAGAAGAAAAAGAGAAAAGGGAGTTGGTTTCGGTGATGATTGACGAACAGGGGTATGGAGATCGACACTCAGCGGCGGCAGTAGGCGGCTCCACCACTTCTTCCTCTTCTGTTTCGTTCGTCCGGCAGCAAACCCAGATGGAGAAAGCATGGTGGTTCCGTTGTGACACCGTGACGGGGGAGGCTGTTAGGACCGATAGAAAGAGGTGGGTTGTCATGGCGGTGGAGAGTTGAGACAATCGTCAGCTTTAATACGAATTTATTCAGATTGGAACTTCTGAACTCTAACTAGGGTTTTCGTCCAAGTTTCTCCATTTCAATTTCATCAGATCATATTCTAAGGTAATAAGTCAACCCAAAATTTCGCTCTATCATTACATATCTTTGTTTTGATCTCTCTGTTTATTTTAAGCTTAATATGTTGCTCCAATCCGCTGATTTGATCAATTAATTCGTATTCATGAATTCCACGAGTCAAACTCAAAGTTCGAACCCCTTTCGAACACCATTAATCGTTTTTTTTCGACTGCTGGTGTATGGTTTGAAGCTTAAGTATTAATAGATCTATGTTATTATTGAATCAACGTTAGTTATGATTGTTTTCTTAAGGTTTTGTTAAAAATATGAATGATTCGAAGTTAAAATATGAGATCTGATCGCCTTAATTTACTAATGCAGATGGAACACCATCATATTGCAATTCCGATTCCAGTCACAGATGTCCATCTCCCAGAACTGGAAATGGTAAAAGCTTCAAAGCTGAAAAAACTCTGTTGTGATCGATATTGCTATTTCTCCAAACAAGAACATAATGTTTCTGTTTATTTGCAGACCATTATGGACCTGCAAAGGTTGACCTTTGGAAAGACCCGATGAGTCCATCCAGGTGGAAGGAAGAACATGTAAGTCTGCTAAATTTTCTGACATATGTATATAAGTATATTGTCATATCAAGCCAATTTTCTATTTGAAATATGAGCCATTGTTCATTGATTCTTGGTTATGTTCTGTAGGACATTGACTGCTCCGATTCCACTGAGTAACTGTTTAAGATCTATCAAGAATCATGCCTTCACTGCATCCAAATACCCTGTTGTAATTACCCTAGAACCTTACTCAAGATCTTCAGGCTAAAGTAGCTAAGGTGAGTAATTCTCTCATTGTTTCTCATATATAATTCTATTAAAAACTTAATCTTCATCTAAGTGTTTTATCCTTTGTGACTAAATTGTAGATGGTTACTGAAACATTTGGGGAAATGCTATTTACTCCTAAAAAAGAGAGTTTAGCAGAATTTCTGTCACCTGAATCTTTAAAAAGAAGGTTCATTATGTCTACTAAACCTCCTAAAGAATACGTTAAAGCAAAAGAAGCTAAGCCAAGTGGAAACAGTTCACAGAAAGAGCAGGATGCATCTGTTGAAAAGGGTACTTTTGTAATTTTGTAAATGGTATTTATTCTTTACTGATGTGGCATTTCTCAAATGTTGGATTTCTTGACCCCATAATGCAAAGTCTTTCCAATGACTTTCTTCGTGCCATAAATACATAATTTAACCAGATTTTTTCAGTCTACAAAAAATGGCAGGTAAGTGTTTCTTTTTATTTGCGCAAATTACAAAAAAGGAAAAATCATTTTTACTTTAATTCTTTTCGGTCAAACCATTGAACATTTGTTTCAAATTAACCATTTTGACTGTTTATAAAATGTCAAAATAGTTATTTGGAAAGAAAAAGTTCTCAAAACTTTTGGAAAGAAAAAGTTGTCACACACACCAAAATCTTTCGGTTTCTAACCGGTTGGTTGTCTAATCACCCTTTGATTTGTTTTATTTTTTTATTAGTTTTTTTGTTTTTATATTGCAAAAAATAGCAATGTATTTAACCTCTATGCTCTAATGTTTACCGATAATAACAACATACTTAGAATTTTCAATCGCTTTTGTTAATGGACAAGGTCTCATATTGTATCTTCTGTTTATCGCTTCAATAAACTCCTTATTGGGACTTTTTTGGTTGTAGGGCACTCTAAATATTATGAAGATTCAGGTTCTCAAACCGTTGGAATGATTTGATTATAGGGAGATTTTAATGTTGAATTTTTTTCAAATATTAGTTATTATTTTGTTTTTCAACCAGATATGACTTGTGTTCGGATAATTTGATTTAAGGGCAGGGGGATAATCGAAAAGTTGATGGTAAACTTCTATTCCTTTTTTCTATTTACAAGTGAATCCATAAAATTTATAGTTTTAGTTAAAAAATGACTTCTTTTGAAACAAATAAACAATTATTATATATTTATCTATTTTACTTACATGTTGCAAGGTTGATTCAATTGTTGGAAAGCCTCGGATGCCTTTAATATTTGCTTTAATTTAAAATCCATAGAATCCATGAAGTTATTTCTGACGAATAATTGATTTATGATTCTCTTTTAGATGGGTCTCTGGATGTAATTTTTGGAACGATTATGTTATTTGTGGCTTGATTACTTTATTTTCGTTCACTATTACATAATCACTTTCCAAAACCAATTCAAACATCCCCTACACCATCCTGAAACTATCAAATGATTTACATTACCTAACAAGTTTTACAACTACTCATATAATAACAAAAAAACAATAAAAAACATTGATTTACATTATCAATGTTGATTCTTTATTGATTTTGAAGGAAACAAGAGTTCTAATTATCTTAATTTTTTTCCAGGTCTTTCAAACTTTGCAAGTTTTACTTTCAATAGGAACACAAACATCACTACAAAAGAAATGAGTGTGCAGTATGTCAGTTTTTGTATTCTTGGGGTTCATCAAAAGATAACTCACACTTAATGAAGGTTTTGGAGAATGGATAGTTGTGGGTCCCACCATCTCCTGGACATAGAAAAACTTGGGAAGAAGAAGTAAGTGAACTTTTTTACTTTCCTCATTTGATATTTTTCACATTAGGGCAAATTATTATTGAGACATGATATAAGATGTGAACATGGTTAGATTAGGAACGATATATGAAACTTCTACGATTTTTTAGGTTGTGATTAGATTTTTTTTCTTGCATTTGATACCTAATTCTTTTTTTTTTGTGTGTAGATACTCACAGATTGATGACCGAGGCAATGGGGAGAAAACATCAATAGCCGATCTTCACGAACAGGGTATGCAGGATATTTAAATGCACATGTTAGCAATGAACTTTCATTGATTAGTTTAGAGTACTTTTAGAGTTCGTTTTATTAGGATATTGTAATCCTATGGTAATTGGTGTTGTATTGTAACTACAACTGGTGGATTGACATTAAGCAGTCTGCAGTGATTTAGGGATTGGTTGGTATGGACAATTTGAGCTTCTAATACCCCTCCCAACCAATTCTTTTTAATTACTTATTACTCTTGCCAATTAATATCAAGAAACACGTTCAGTCCAGATTTCCAACATGTAGAAACAACATTTTACACACAATCGACCAAAAAGAGTTCACACATCCGGACCCCGCAAAGCGGGGTCACTCATCTAGTATATATATATTTTACAAAAATAAAATATCCATTAAAACACAAACATTACTGCCTAATACATACCAAAAAAGAAAAAAAATAAAACCATGATCAAAACCGAACCCTGCGGAGCGGGGTACCCCAGCTAGTTACAACATTATTGTACACTGTCATTTTCCCATTACATTTATATAGTGATCTTCTTACATAAAAGGTAATGTAAACTATTTTCTACTAATATTAGTCATATACTTGGGAAAACACTCACTTTTACAAAATAACAAACATACAGAACAGTCGGGTCTTGGTAGAAGACTACTTTCTATTTTTAGTAAAATATATAGGATTTTCTAGGAGGTATACAAACATTTACATCAAAACACTTACAAACATTTACATCAAAACACTTACAAACATTTTCTTTAAACTTATACAAACATTTGACACTAAAATACTTATGAACTCCCCAGCTTAAATGCTGATCTACTCTTTCAAAATAACTTGTATTCTCAGGTCACCAGTAGACAGGTACACTGGACCAGGTTTTGAGAAGACGGAGCATGTTCAAGACTCATCTTTTATTTTGATATATATATTTTTGGTGTCTTACAAATACATTCAGAACACACTTGTATTAAATTATATTATTAATGAAATGGATGATGTTGTTGCTTGTTTTATTATTGTGCATTGTTATGATACTGTACATGACGTCATCCGCCCCCGAATGTTTCCGCCATTCTGGTTTGGGGGTGTGACAGATTGGTATCAGAGCTTTGTTTATAGTGAATTGAGTATATCAAACCATAAAAGATATACAACTTTAAACACAACGAGATTAAAACACTCTGACCAAGAGTGAATACTTTTAAAATAATAAAACATTTTAGTAAAGTATTCATACAAGCATTCATACTAGGATCAATGTCATACTAGAACAGAACAAAAGTATTGCGGTTGTTAGACAACACAAGTAGGCTTGGGGACATATAATCAGATCTGGGAGTGATATAGCCTGATCAACTATATCTTTCCGAGAAGTGATTAGCATGTGCATAAGGATGGTTGTGGTGTTGTAACAAGTCAAAAAACTTACCAACACTACTACAATGAAAACTTTAGAACAGATCATATAAATACTGTAGGAGTATTTTGTGTTACTATAATTACTTATTTGAGAACTAAAAGGTCTTTATTAGTAAGTGAATAGTTGCTGAGTGGATACGCTAAGGTTATATGTGACTAGGGTGTCATAGACTTAGAATCTGTGACCTTTGCTTTACTTCCTGTTCCTTGTTTGGTTGTGCACTTAGAGTTAGGGTCACTTATTCGAAGGTCTATTCTATCATGGTTAAATATGATTGGTATGCACTACGCAAATATTGGAGTAACTAGTAAGGATCATCCTATAATTATCTTAAGTAGTACGTCTATAATCTGTTTCTTACACCCCTTTCTCGCGTAGATAACATGGCTGGATTCCATATCCCCGACGACCCGTACTTTCCTAACCAAGGAAATGGTGGATGGCTCGATGCAGAGCCAGAAGAGAATCATGCAATTCCTTTAGATGATGACTTTGCAAAAAACTTCCCAAAGGATTCTGACTCCGAGCCAGAAGTCAATGATCTACCCCTAGTGGCTCCAATCCCAAATCCTAACCCTCGTCCGGCTTTTCAAGGCCCGACGCCTTTGTGGGCTGAGAACTTGGACAGATGGAGTCAAGCGCAGGGACAACCCTTACCCTACAACGGAGACCGAAGCTTCTATAATCTGAGCGAGGGAGGCTCAACAGACAGAATCCTGTCTATTCTGGTTCGCAGGGTTGCTCGAAATGTTGAGCTAGGAATGACAGCCATTCAACAAACCGTGGAGCTTGACTCGGACACAAATGCCAAATGGATCGTATTCGCAACCTTGAAGTTGCTCATGGGAGAGCTATGAGAGACAATGAGGCTCTGTAGCAAGAGCTAGCTGCAACTCGAGCTGAAGTCATAGAGCTCCGAGCACGCCAGTCAGTATATGAACGACACCTTCTTGATGTGCAGCGTCAGCGGACCGAATTAAGGGTTCATCCGAGGGGTGCCCGTCGCCAGTAGGAGGTGCTCTGCTCATCATTTCTTTTGGTTTAAGGAATAGCTTTCTTATCTATGCTCTAAGTACCACTTTTCCCTGTAAATTTCCAGTTTATGTTAAGACCTTGAATTTTAAGTCTGTTAGGTCTTAGTGCTGTCAAAATTTTCTAAATTCTGGTGTGATGTAAGACCTACTCCAAGGTCATTTTTCCCGAACTTGTTACATCTTTAATGCCAATGTTATTTACAGACATCTAACCTCAAGGGAAAACCACGCGTGTCCATACGATGTGTTAGAGTGCCTTTTTCTTAGTCATAGTAATAACTAATAAACTAATGGAACCTAGTGAGTTAGTGATTACATTACTCGTCTTAGGTTTTAAGCTTATCGCCTTTTCGGTCACGACTAACAACAATAAATCGGATCACGAAATCTCAATTGAGAGTGATTATTTCTCAAATTCATAAGTCTATTTTATGTAGACTCTATTACGAACTACTTTCAAATCTTTTCGAAAGTTGGAACATGATATCCTCCAACCAAAGATAACTTAGTTTGGATGACACCCGCCTTATGACCGTTCTAGAAACTTACTTCTACTCATTACCAGGACTACATCATAGGGATGTAGGTCGAATCATCGAGAACCGTAAAACAAAACGAAAAAGTTACATTCACATAAATGATAGGGATACATCTAGAGCCAACCATAAACGCTCACGAACTCATTTTCTTATCATATAACAGAATCATGCCTCCGAAGAAACGAAACCAACCCGCTGGAAAAACACCAATCCTTCAGATAGATACGGCTACCTTTCAAGCTACGGTCTCAGCTGCCGTAACAGCTGTCATGACTCACCTTAACGCTAACAACGCAAATGGTAATGGAATTGTTATCGACAATCCCAATCAAGGTGGTATCCAAGTACAACAACGAGTGCTTACTCGCAACAACACTCCGAACCTCAAATTTAAGAACAAGAAACAGATGTTTTGGGATAAAAAGAAGGGCAAATCACCTCAAAAGTTAGCTAAGAGACAACAACCTGTGGCAGCCTCTGCGGCCACGACATCTGTTACTCCTACTACCATTCCTACTAGTATCCCTGTTACCCCTACCCCAGCAAGGCAGTATGCTGGAAATCTACCAAAGTGTAATGAGTGCAACTTCCATCACCTGGGAGCCTGCCGAGTGATGCATTGCAGGAACTGCAACAGGAACGGGCACACTACCCATTTCTGCAGAGTCCCGATCCGACACATTACTTCGACCACCAATGTTGGAATCAGTCCAATATGCCACCTTTGTGGTGAAATAGGACATTTCAAAAGGGACTGTCCAACAGAGAAGAATAACGGGGGAGCAGGAGGAGTTTGACCCCAAGATATGGGGAAGCATCAAAGGACCCTGCTATAATTTTGGTACGCTTCCAAAACCCCATTAATTAAGTATAATTATAATAACTCTCTCGTTCGAACCAAATCACATCACTCGTATAAAACTCGGAACCATAACAGGTAAAGCTATGATGGCTTAGTGTATGCATTAGGGTCATCTATAATTAAGATCTGTAGACTTCGAGTGAGTGATTTCGCCTCATTTCCTTTTCCTTGTTTGGTTGTGGATTTAGGGCAAGGTCACTCAGTCAACTGTCTTTCCAATCTTAATTATACATGACTGGTGTACACCAAACGGTTATAGAGATACCTAGTAGGGGTCATTTCATGAAAGTTCACTGTTTCAAATTATCAGAACCCTCGTTTGCTTGTATTTGTTAATTCTGATAAAATAGGGTTCGTAGTAATCATACCGAGGTTAGTTCATCGTCCTAGTAATCATTCTTCTTCTAATTAACATAACATCTGATTCATCAAGAAGTTCCGACATCATCATCCGACATGGTTTTGGCTTGGTCCTTACCATGCAAAATTTCTATGCTGTGTAAAAAGAACTTTTCCCTTAATCAACCAACAAACGAAATTCTTCCGATCCATGACGCAAACCCTTATATCATCTCTCACTTTAAAACTTCAGAAGTACCCATGCGAGGGGTACCGCGCCCTTCTAGCCTACCCAGTAGTTAATAGCCTTGAAGCGAAAAACACCAAAGAAGTCTCAGTGGTCAGTAACCACCCGAAGTATACCAAATAGATCTACGAGAAAGACCACCCGTACCGCAGGCCAAGTTCAAGAATAGAGACTAAGAACTCATTAGGTTAATCAATCGCTGCGAAGTGTATACGCAAGAGTGGTATATAATTTAGACTCAACAAAATTTAGGATGCGTGATTCCGCCCTGTCTCTAGTTCCTTGTCTGGTTGTGGACTTGGGGCAGAGCTACCCATCCGAACGTTTTGTCAATCTAAATTATATACGACTTGTATACACGAGGTGATGGTGGATAACCTAAGTATGAGTCTTATCACGAACTTCAGAACAAAAGCCACATGCTTACTGCAAAAACCGAAGATACCTGAGTGGAAGTTGTAGCGGATTACAAAGAGCTTCATAATCAAGTTAACCAAGGCAACAGGTGGACTTGATTGCCATTTTGGGTGATCGTCTTCAGATCAGCTAAATCCGCACCCTTCCTACAATTTTAAGGAATCAGGTAAAATAGAGAAGTTAACTAGGACGTGAGTCCGAGAAATTAGTTAGGCTGCATGGTGTTCCAATATCTGTTATCTCCGTTTGAGATAGTAGAATCATCTCCTAGAGTCAGGCAGAAAAGCTAAACGCCTTCGATAAGAGAAAACCCTTGGAAATTCTTGGTTGGTGACCTCGTCAGGTGAAGGTCTCACCTGGAGGGGCAGAATATGCTTCGGAAAGCGTGGAATACTAAACCCAAG